TCCAAATTTTGGGGTTTTCGAGTCGTTTAATACAACATATTGATTGTATAAATCCGCCGGGTCGGCCAAATTTTGGAAGCCAAATTTTAGAGTCGTTTAATACAAAAAGAAAAACATTAATTCAACACGCAAGAAAGTCCAGAGTGCGACAAAAAATGAACACAACTACACCACGGATGTTTATGACTCTACAACGTATATTTATAGACAGTTGTTTATTAGTTAAAAAGTCAAACTGTCGAACCTTTAACTTGTCCTTTGTAAAATTCGCTGGGTCCAAATTTTGGGGTTTTCGAGTCGTTACACGAAGAAAAACATATTAATTCAACACGCAAGAAAGTTCAGAGTGCGACACAACGTAAAATCCATAGGAAACCGGCACAACTCTTTGAAAATTCAACGAAACTGTGTGAAATATATTCTGATCACTCAGCCAAAAGGCGCCATTTTGAAACTGGACTGAATATGTCACCATTGGAGTTCGGAATTGTGCGCGTGCGTATAAGTCCATATAAGTCTATATATGGGCTAATAAACGAAAAATGCACCACAAGCATGGCATGAGCCGGCTATTACGTACATAAATACAAGCTTCTTACTATTATACATGAATCGTGGAGTCGAAGAATCGATGGCATTTTGGATTAATCGTTGCACCCTGAGCCTGCGATGCGCGAACGCAAACTCGATTTCTCGACGACGAAAAAAACAGAAGAAAACAGAAAACTAGGGATTTAAGACACTTGACCTTTCAGGTCAGTGTAATAAATATGCCAAGCAAAGCTTGCTAAGTTTTTGTGTCTTTATATTATGCTCTGGTTATCCATTGAACACTCTATCAACCTAACACAGACTATTATATATATATATATATATATATATATATATATATATATATATATATATATATATATATATATATATATATATATATATATATATATATATATATATATATATATATATATATATATATATATATAATATATATATATATATATATATATATATATATATATATATATATTTATATATATATATATATATATATATATATATATATATATATATATATATTTATTATATGGACAATGGTGTTTTACTGGAAACTAAAACACTCGTAGAACTCATACGTCACTACATCCGGGACCAGGTGCGCGTATTTTCCGTATTTCACCCCTGCGAGTGACATACGAAGTTCGAAAATTTCCCGCCATTTTCATTGTTGTTGTTTTGAAAATACAAATGGTCTTTGGTTCGTATTTAAAACGAAATTAACGTTGGAAATAAAACGAAAACATTTAAAAGACATCTTGAGATAAGTAAAATTTATTCTAGTTTTATGTTTGCACTATAATTTTAAAAAATATCGCTTTTATACTGGTCTTTCGCGTGCTTATTTACATGTCGTCTTTGTGTGTATTTTTGTCACTCTGAGTCCATATAATAAACATAACATTAAACGGTTGCGAGAAGATATGGATTTATGTTCTCGTGTCAAAAACAATATCTCACTCGTTCGCTGCGCTCACTCGTGAGATATTGTTTTTGCCACTCGAACATAAAATCCATATCTCTTCGCAACCGTCTAAAATCCTCCTCTCTATATATAATACATTTGTACGATCAAAATAACCAACCGCGCCTTTTAGAAGAGATTTTTAAGGAAGAGATTTTTTTGCCTACCTATCTTTAAAGCCTACCTATCTTTAAAGCCTACCTATACCTCGAAATGCCTTGAAATTACTGTTTTCCATCCTTTTTTAAACAGCAAGTTCAGGACATTTTTCTAACCTTCAATTTCCGGTCTTCCTTACTTTCATTATATTTTACATTAAAATAAATCTTGATGTCAGAGAAGACAAATAATCGGTTTAAGGTGGCGATTTTGTTCAAAACCGTTTCTCAAAGTATCGAAATAGTTTCAACTTATAATTACCATAATTTGGATAAGGCTGTATATTTTTTTAACAAAAAAAATAGTAAGGTACTATTTAAAACACGAGTAGGAGTGTTTTATCAGATATAAAACGCGAGGCGCGCCGAGCGTTTTATATCTGATAAAACACGACAACGAGTGTTTTGAATAGCTTATATATAAAATACGACTACAAAAGAATACTGATTAGGATGAACAATTATATAATCATAATAATTAGGATGAACAATTATTTCTCAAATTCATTAATTAATTCATGAGTAATTCAGCCAATGATAATCACCTATTTGATCACAAGATGCCATTTGGATACTTGATGAAAGTCACTAGTGTTTTCATCAAATATCTTAATTACGCATGCAAAGTTACTTGAATAGAATTCCTAATTACGTTATGCTTTGTTAAGAATTCTATTCAAATCATTAAACGCCGGAAAACATTCTGTTACGTCTCAATTCATTTGAGAAGCCATATCCATTTGAGAAGCCCGGAGAAGCTCACCGGGATATCCAAACACTCGAAAACAATGTATGAAAACACTCGCGCTTCGCGCTCGTGTTCTCATGCATTGTTTTCTCGTGTTTGGATATCCCGGTGAAACACTCGCTCTCGTTGTTCATATATTACATAAAGAATTCTGATGAAGATGAGTTTTATCAGATATGAAGTCACTGCACGTGACATATTATGGCTGACATGATTTGCCACAAGGTTTATGAATTATTAATGAGTATTTTAAACATATTTATGTATATGAACTTACAAATGTTGAAGTGGCTTGTGGAACTTTTGTTGTGTCATTTGGAAACTCGGTCGTTTAACATTCAAGATTTCCGATTGTCTACGTCCAGAAATGATTTTCATCTCGTTTCTAGATGGTTGTGCGGAGATACTACGCTGACGTTTTTCACTTTCAGCAGCCGCATAAGAAGAATTCTGGTCATGTAACAGATCAGTGCTAGAACGAGACTTTGAGAATACTGTAAATGGGGATTCCATGCCTCGAAGATTAGGTATCGTCAGTTGCTCACTTGATACTGTTCCCACCCGTCTTGGGCTTGTGCTTATTTGATGGTGGCTAACCGTTGAAGACAAATATTGATCCTTGTCATATTTTTCTTGAGGATAACCTTGCTGATCTAGCGTGCCCTCTGTCATCCTATAACGTGTGGACATCTGGTATTCCGGTGGATATCGTGCTCGTGAGATTGGTCTGAGCAATTCGCCTTCTGTCTTAAAACCAAGATTCTGAGAAGCATATGTAGTCGGTTTCTGGAAAGGTTGTGTCGTTGATGGTTGTTCGGCGTTGCTGAAGACCTGAAACTGGTTTGGGGTAATTTGTCGTGTTGCCCGTTTCAAAACGCCGTGGTTCCTGTCATTTGTGGATACAGATTGGCTAAGTGTCGCATTTTCGGGAATTTCACCTTTTCCAAATTCAGTTCCTGGAAAGTATCCTGATGGATGTTGCGGCACCATGCCATCTGGAGGTAATTGTCTAGGGTCAGTACAGGTACTTACTGTATATGGTTTTCCGTCATAAGGCGGTTTCTGTTAGAATGAGAAATAGAAATTCAAAAAAAATCCAAAGCGTTAGAAGTCGTCCTTTAGTAGATATAAAAGTAATCAAAGTAACTACAATGTCATATAGATACAATACTATATTTCTATACACATTCATGCCATTTGCCAGTATTACATTGGAATTGTGCAGTCAAGCATTCTATATTTAACAAATATAAAACATTTTCCGTGTTGATATACAGTTTTATAAAATAGCCTTTTAAAAACACGGGCGCTGATTGGTCAAAAGCTCAAAAAAACCGTGTTTCTATTTAAGAAATAGAAAACATTTTCCGTGTTTCTATAGAGTTATAGAAACACGCGTGCTAGTTTGGGAGAACGAAAAATAATCAGTGGGAACACGAGCACGTAGTGCGAGTGTTTCCACGTTATTTCGAGTTCTCCCAAACTAGCACAAGTGTTTCTATAACACTATAGAAACACAGGAAAAAAGTTTTCTATTTCCTTTATTAAATAACCTTGTGATAATAACACAAAAACAATATTTTTCACGCGATTAAAAAGTGTATTCTCATTACAAAATAACAAGAAAGTGTTGCTTAGCAACAATACCGGCATCAGTTTTGCCGACTGCAAAATTATGGAAAAAAACACGCTGAAAAAGTTGATTTAAAGAAAATTTAGAGCGTAAAAACGTTTGGTAAGTGTTTTCCATTGCTTGTTTAACAAAATTTCAGGTTGACGAAGATTTTTAGTCGATATTTCAGGCGAAAACGTTTGTTTTAGTGTGTTGTTTTGAGGTTCGTGGAAAATTCTTGTGTTCTATAGCGTTATAGAAACACGTGATTTTTCACTTTTCAACCAATCAGCGCAGGCGTTATTAAAAGGTTATTTTATAAATATATATATCAATACGGAAAAAATGTTTTATATTTGTTTTATAATATAGCACAAAGAAACATAAAGAAAGAAATTTTCCGACATTTCCGTGTTGACATTGAGTTATATCAACACGGCTCTTAGCTAATCAGCGTTCAGAATCTACAAATGCTATATTATAAATATATTTTATTAAACAACTTATGAATTATAACAATTGATCAATTATATATATTTTAATTTGTACGATCATCCAGATTAAAATTTTTTATTGTTTCTGACGTTTCGGCCATATATATTTTATTATGTTATCGACAAAAATGTTCTAAAAGTTGAGGCTCTGGGAATATCTTTTCATACGCTATTTACCCTCTGGCCATATTCACTTGTTGATCAACATTTTATGGATGAGCCCAAGCTACATTTCTTACCTCAGAATACACTTCATGTTGCGTCAAATTTGGTGCTGAGAAATCTTGATTCTTCTGCCGACCGTACCGCTGGTTTGGGTCATAAGTTGTGGGGAAAGATTTTGGGGAAATGTGATAGTAAGGAATGTTTGTGTATTTCCACATGTCTGGTGGGGGCAGTTGTGATTGCCCTGTTGTATAGATCAATCTCTGCTGGTTGACGTCAGGATTAGGTACATTATGTAATGGGGCATGTACGTATCCCAGTGGATATGTCAATCTTTGTTGGACTACATCAGAATCATTCCTCGTTACGTCAGCTAGCGGTGTTTTCACATAATGTGGTGGGTATGCCATTATTTGCCTTGGTACTCCACCGTCATTTTCAGAGGGCACTTCAAAACTTCTTTCCGCAAGGTTGAGCTTATCCCGGTAAGCATTCTTATCGCTTCTCTTTCTATCTCTCTTATCCTTCTCATCCGCTCTGCATTCCACTTTTTCATTAGTGATGTCGTATGTACCTTCTTCCTCGGTTGGACTGTTGGAATCTGTTTCGGAACTTCTTGTTTCTGTAGAGGATTTGACATTCTTCTGGAATTTCTTTTGGCCATTCTTTATATACGATTTTGTTCGACGTTTGGATTCAACTTTCCCGGAGTTGGTTTTCATTTTGACCTTGCTTTTCTTTTTATTGTTACTTTTATTGCTGCATTCGTTGCGATTATTTCCTTTTGCGTTCATCACATTCGTGTCATTTTGGATGCTTTTTCCATTTTCATCATCGTAATCTTCCCTGGGAATGTTGCTTTCGTCGTTCGAATAGTTCTTTCCGCCTTCGTTGCTATTGTGTTTGTTTTCATTTTTACTGGCACTGGTGTTCATAATGGTAAGAGTCGTGTTGCGAGTTGTACTTTGTTGTTCTAGTTGTAACTTAATTTCTTCGAAAGATAACTTCATGTTCCGCATATCAACAACTATTTCTTCTTGAAATCTTCGCACTTTACTCACATCCATTCTCACAAAATCCAAGTCAGACTTCTTGCCCTTTTGAAATTTCTTTCCAAATTGTTCCCCCAGAATGTCCATGATCGCTTTGACATCATCACGTACACGTTCAATTGTTGCTTCGTCTTTGTCCATGACCATTAACCTCCCGAGATTTCTGGAAATTACTTCTGGACTTGCTCTTTCTTTAATAAAGTTGTAGTACTTTGATTTTCTTTTTTTCCGTAACGACTTTTGAAGTAGGAGTATTGTTTGTGCTCTTTGCATCACAGCGTTAGCAATAGCATTCTCGTAAAGTCTTTCAAACGTGTTCGTAAGAAGAGCAATAAGTAAGTTGAGTGTAACGATTGCTGCAATAGCGATGAAACTTCCACACAATAATCTAGCCATGAACGGGTTTGCTCTCTCTAGGTTTTCAAAGCCGTGACTGTTAACAACCATCATGGAGAAGATGTTGTACAATAGCGGACCAACATGATTGTAACCATCAACGGGGTTTAACGAAATCGCTCCAAACGTTATCCAAAATGCACAGGTGAATGGTATTACAATAACTAAATTCAGAAATGCCCACTTTGCAATGTCCCCCATCACACTGCTAAAAATCACAATGAAAGGGCCAGCGCTTTCAAAAGGTCTTGCATATTTGAAAATTCTGAGCCAAAGTATTAGAAGCAACGGCATTGTGATGTAATGGTGGACTTCTTTGGATAAATCGGTACTGTAGTGGAAGAAAACCACGTGAGATATGATTGTTGCCAGGATAAACACGAGTGCGACCCAATCAAAATATATCCAGTAATCAGAACCCGACATAAGGGAGAGATTTTTAACAGCTTTTATCTCTGCGTTGACATATTGGGTTTCTTGTGGCCACCTGGGATGACAGAACTCGATATCACGTTCAAGTTCTGAAGCTCGCCATTCTTTCCACGCATTGTGTTCTTGTCGAGTTTTTACTGTGTCTAAAAAAAAACAAGTGTAATAGAAATTAGTTAAGCTTGTATTGATTGAACTTGTTATATAACACGTGTGCATGTGATGTGTAATAAATTAGTATTATAAATGACTAATTTAGAAACTTACTTAGGATCTGTTTTCTTATTTCCACTATCGTGAGCAAGATAAGGAAAATACCAATAACAAGTCTCCAGGAATTGGGACCGATGGGGATATACAAATCTCTTCCGTATTTTGGAAGAGTCACTGCAAGCAGTGTCCACAATATCGTGTATATGAGATTCAGCGCAAGATCTTGAACAGCACCCCATTTGCCATAGCATTGCCATTTTGTACCAATCAGGCGTTGCATGACGGGATGCATGATGATGTCATATCTCTCGTTCTGGACAGCTATCTCAAGGGGAGTTCGAGCAGGCGTTTTCTGTTCTTTTAATTTCGTGCCTTCCAGATAGTTGAGAAAATAAAATTCTTTACGATTGATTGTGTCTACTGAATGAAACTGGTTCATTGCATCCAAAGCCACTTCAGGAATCTTTTCAATGAGAAGGGACAATGCCGAGTTTCCCAAGTTGTCATACACACCAGCTGGAGCGCCTTCCGCAATTAAGAGTTTGGCAGCTTTAGAACGATTCATTTCTGCAGCTACCTATGATACACGAGAAACCAGAAAAAATATTGATTGTAATACCCTGATATTCTTATTTAACATGTTTATACGCCACACTCCTCGGTAAACGATTTTGGCTTAAGGTGGCTCGCTACAGTTTATAGAAATGTTGAAAATGCGTAAACTACAATCCTGGAAAAAAATTAGTAGACTTCTTAAATTTTCAAACTTTGTCCCTCTCCCCCCTTATACAATGTTGGTATTTAGGTGACATGTGTTGCAAATCCACTTTACCTGAACCAACATTGTTTCGGGGGGGGGGGGGAGGGGGTTAATTTAAAGTAAATAGTTGCTTTAATTGAAAAATGCTCACATTTTCATCATATGTTTTCAAATTTGGGTGTATTTTTCGAAAAGTCTACAAATATTTTTTCCAAGATTGTCTGAAAAAATACAACGGATAATCATTTTACCAAGTTAATTGTTCAGTCGTTTTCAAAACATAATTTTCATATTAAAAAGGACTCTATATTAGGAACATAATTCAGGGTTTGATTAAACTTTTTGAAAGCCAGGGGGGTCGGTAGACGGGGGGCGGCTTAATGTAGGTGCCCATGTTTTAAGGAAAATTGTGATTAATTTATCCAATAAGGCTGCATTGACAAAAAATATGGCAGTTAATAACAAAAAACTATCAGAGGGACAGATATGGCATATATAGATTATTACATTGTACAATATTTCATGACCGTCACATTTTTTCACATATTTTGTCGATCATTAAAATTTTATAGTGCGGAATTGTACCTATAAAGTATGTTTTAATAAGGTTTCAATATGCTTCTATAACGCATGTACCCGTGATTGTCTGAAAATTAGTGCTTGTCTTAACGAATATCTTATTATTATTTAATAAATGTACTGTCTGAGTAAAATAACTACATGTTACACCATGTTACACCACATGTTACAGTACATGTTACACTAAAAGTTCTATGTTTTATTATATATCCTCACATGTTACAACATGTTACACCTACCTTTAAAAATATCTATAGTTCCTTTTAAAAATATAGGTGTAACATGTAGTAACATGTCAAAAACTATAGTAAAGTATAGTAATTTTAGTGTAACATGTAGTGTAACATGATGTAACATGATGTAACATGTGAAGATTGAGATTTGTTCTAATCTATAATCGTTGAAAAGGTGCATAGAGAACTGAAAACCTTAAAAATAAATTAATCCTAACATAATTTAAGACACAACCAACCGATAAACGAGCAGAAATATCTCTTAGTTTATTTAATCCAAAAGAACTCAAGAAATCAAGCAGTTATGTGTATTTTATGAAATTAAATTCGCTTATTTTCCGGAGCAAATACTAAGTAAAACATTTTTAAAAGGGTGTTAAACCTAGAGGATTCTAAGTTGAAGCTAATATTAAATTTACTATACATTCAAAAGTATAAAAACATTTATAATCGTGTCCAAATTCTACGAAATTGCAAGGATAACTCGAGCTGTGGGCGGTAATATACGCCTATTTCCTATAATCGTACCATGGGAAGTTCCCTCCCCCCCGGAAAATTGTTTTGGGAGTCTGTTTCTACTGACATATGTGCCACTTGACTTTCATAACAACATAATAGAATAGAAAATTTTATATGTCCAAAAAATTTAATTTCTATCCCTTAAAGGTTAAGGGTTTGGCTTAATTCAGAGACAATCCTGGAAAAAAATTAGTAGACTTCTTAAATTTTCAAACTTTGTCCCTCTCCCCCCTTATACAATGTTGGTATTTAGGTGACATGTGTTGCAAATCCGCTTTACCTGAATCAACATTGTTTCGGGGGGGGAGGGGGTAATTTAAAGTAAATAGTTGCTTTAATTGAAAAATGCTCACATTTTCATCATATGTTTTCAAATTTGGGTGTATTTTTCGAAAAGTCTACAAATATTTTTTTCCAAGATTGTAGATCACCTTTTTGAAAAGATGATGCTCTTTACAAATCGAAATTTGTATATTATATATACAGCGACAATCAAACAGTCGAAAATTGGTCAGAAAAGTGACGTCACCACTGTTGCTATGGCAACAATGACGATTCAAGATGGCCGATATTTTGGCTTTGAACGCGTTTTACTTTAAAAAAAGGTCGGTTCCCCCATTTTTTATTTCAAAAAACATTTTCTTATAGTACAATACACTATCTGACCAATTTTAAAAAGATTCTGTAATGCCAAATTTTTAAAAAATTTATAAACATGGTTTTTCGAAATAATTTTTTTTTTGCATTGGTCAGATAGTGAGAAAGAAAATGTTTGTTGAATAAGAAAATGTTTTCTGAAATAAAAAATGGGGGTAACCGACCTTTTTTAAAGTAAAATGCGTTCAAAGCCAAAATATCGGCCATCTTGAATCGTCATTGTTGCCATAGCAACAGTGGTGACGTCACTTTTCTGACCAATTTTCGACTGTTTGATTGTTGCTGTATATATAATATACAAATTTCGATTTGTAAAGAGCATCATCTCTTCAAAAAGGTGATCTAGTTTACACATTTTCAACATTTCTATAAACTGTAGCGAGCCACCTTAAGTCTGCAAACTTCAAAGCGCCTGTTATGAGCTAGGATTTTATGTTGAAATGGCTTCATCGTACACAAATCTTTTTCATTATGCCTTATTTCCACCATGCGACTTTAGATCACCGCTGATGAACACGCTTACTATTATTCACTTATTTATACTGGAGGTAGCGAGAGGAAGTATGTTTAGTTAATCTCCGGTTGCATGCGAAACACTAATGAATTTCAAAAAAAATAATATGACAGAACACCCTACCTGTAGTGGTGTTCTGTTTTTGCTGTCACGTGCGTCGATGTTTGCTTCGTATCGTAGCAACATCCGAAGAGAGTTGATGGCGTCATTTTTAGCAGCAAAATGTATCGCAGTCTGTCCTTCACCAGACGTTTTAATATCAATATCAGCTCCATTTTGTAGAAGAAATTCTACCATTTCTGCGTAATCTACTGCCGCAGCAACGTGCAGTGGTGATCGACCATACTGATCTTGTTGGTTCACATTTGCACCTGTGAAGGCAATATATACATAACTTTGTCCGAGTGTTTGTTATCAGTTGTCTAATTGTCTATTTAATGTTTAAGTAAAAAATGTGGAGGTGAGCGACCGATCCATATGGGATTTACAAACAAATTGTCAATAATAAGGTTTTTTTAGCTGAGAAAATCGAATGTTAATCAAGGTGAAATCTGTATCGTATTTACAGAATGTAATTCTTACCATTGTCAATAAGGAAACTTGCTACGTCACTGTTCCAAGATCTCGCTACTTCATGAAAAACAGTCTGACCTGTCTTGTCTGTGCTGTTCACATCTGCACCGTTTTTCAGTAAAGATTCAACGAAATCAAAATCAAATGTATCTTTTGTGCTGTTGGAGTTTGCTAATGATGCAAGGTAATGGAGTAGAGCGCGGTTTCTGACATTCTGAGCTTCTCTTCCCTCAACCATCTCACTTTCAGCGAGTTCACCCTCGAGTACCGCGTGAATGGGTTCATTTGTTCGACTAGTACCTAAATGATAGCTGCCATTAAAATCATAATATAAGCTTTGATTGTTCATTTTGATGATAATAAATAATAATGATAGTTGTAGTGTTGGAGATTTTTCTCATCTTATATGTTGGAATGCCGTGTAATTTGCTTGTTTGAAAATTCCACAATCAAGATTGTCATGCACGTATGTGTCAACATTGAAGTTTACGATCGTGTTATTATTTTTGGATTCTGCTGCCTGAAGGAGAAATATATTTCATTTGGAATATACATTTGGGATAGTTGTTCCTGGGTTGTTCGTGGTTTTAGTACTGTTTTACTCCTTGTTTAAAATTTTTATTTTATAGAGGGATATTTCCTTAAAAGTTTGAAAAATCTCCCACGGCAATTCTCTCTTACGTTAACCGTCACTGTCAGCTCCATGGGGATTATAAAAAACCTTGAGCACGAGATCCTCGTTTTGGTTCTCCCATGTGATGCAAACACGGTAGATTCAGGAAGCTTGAAAAGTTTGCACGGAAAATGTTTTTTTGATAAGTCGGGCACAATGGGAAAAAGTCGGGTAAATTTCTTTCTCCCCCCCCCCCCTAAATTTTTCCCTATGTCCTATAATATCTATTAGGCATTATGCATGTGCAGGAACGATATTTATATAATAACCACAGTGAAACACGCAATTTGATTGGTCAATAGCCGCGTGCAGGAGTCAGGCTATTGCTAAAATGCCTTCGCGGGATTCTCAAAATGTCATTGTCTCACTGTAGTTATTTTATAATACAAGAAGGTATTTCATGTTTGACACGTTATCTCGCGTTCACGCTTATAGGTATTAAGTTTATGGATTCATTTTTTAATTTTCGAACATTTGCTCAAGTGCTTGTTGCCTATTTTGAAAACGTTTGGCACTGCGAGTTCCATATATCGTAAAATGTTTTAACAGTCACGTGCGTCTTTATTATAGGGAAAGTTTGGGAAACCAGCATTTTGTATTCGAGCAAAAGCATACATTACTTAGATTTATTTGCAGGGCCGTAGCTAGACCGATAATTAAAGCGTATATTCATATATTCGTGTTCTGCCTGGATTTAATCTTTTGAAAGCGATTGTTTTACGGTATGTGAACATGAATATATGAATATACCCCCCCCCCCCACAAAAAAAAAAATTAAAAAAATTATCGCGTCTAGCTACGGTCCAGCTGATTTTAATATATTCATCTCTCTTCACACAACTTCTAAATTTAAAATATACCGAAATAAAATAAATCATTTGTTACGAATTAGCAAAAAGAAATATTATAACAATTATTTCATTAAACATTCTAAAGATTCAAAAAGAATTTGGAACGGTGTGAAACAAATTATCTACCTAAAAAAAAATAGCAACTGTAATCCTACAAAATTAATATATAATGACCAGGAATTAAACGACAGCAAAAAGATCGCTGATGCCTTTGGTGATTATTTTGCTAACGTAGGGGAAAATCTTGCAAGGGAAATACCTAAAGTCGACAAATCACCATTAGATTATATTCATAATTATTCCCCTACTAACAGTTTCTATCTATCCCCTACTACATCGGCTGAGATTGAGTCTATGATCACAACTCTGAAACCTGGTAAAGCAACAGGGCCTTCCAGCCTTCCTATAAATATTCTTAAAATCTTGAAACAATTTATATCGAAACCCCTGGAAATTGTGTTCAATGCTTCTTTCGCTACATGCAGGTATAGTACCCAGTAAGTTTAAGATCACCAGGGTTATCCCAGTATTCAAAAAGGGGTTACAAATTAATATAAATAATTATCGACCAATTTCTCTTCTTTCTGTTTTTAACAAATTACTGGAAAAACTCATATATAACAGACTTAGTAGTTTCCTTGAGAATTTAAATATTCTTTATGATAATCAGTTCGGTTTTCGATCTCATTATTCAACTGAGCATGCTATTCTTTCTATAGTTGATAAAATTCAACAAGCAATTGAAAAGAAACAATACTCTTGTGGGATTTTCCTGGATTTTAGTAAGGCATTTGACACGGTTGATCATACAATACTACTGAAAAAGTTAGAAATACTCGGAATTCGTGGGATTGCCAAAAAATGGTTTGATTCTTATCTAACGGATAGGAAACATTTCATCTCAATAAACAATATTTCATCTAATCTATATGACATCACTTGCGGAATTCCCCAAGGGTCAGTGCTAGGACCCCTCTTATTTCTTTTATACATCAATGATTTTCATAAGTGCTCTAATTTTTTCGATTTTCATCATTTTGCTGATGATTCAAATTTGTTTTGCAAAAATAGATGCTTACTTGAACTTGAAACCAATATAAATATAGAATTAAGTAATATAGATACTTGGTTATGTGCTAATAGGTTATCACTTAATGTTGAAAAATCAAACTTTCTTATATTTCATCCTTACCAAAAAAATATACTAACAGACATAAAACTTTCGGTAAGAAATAAAGTCATTAAACAAGTAGATCACATAAAGTATCTTGGTGTTTTTTTCGATCCTCATTTAACTTGGAAAAAACAAATTACGTTCATTTCAAAAAAGATTAAAAGAAGTATAGGAATTTTGTCTAAACTTAGATATTATGTAGACAGCAACATTCTGGTTAATTTATATTATGCTTTAATTTACCCTTTTATAACATATGGTTTAATCATATGGGGTAATGTTTATTCCTCAACTGTCAAACCTTTAATTATACTCTAAAAAAAGGTTGTGCGTGTTATAACATTCTCTAAATTTGATGCCCACTCTAGCTCACTTTTCAAACAGTTGAATATTATTAAGTTGACTGATCTTCTAAATCTACACGTGGTTCTTTTCATGTACAAATATCATAACAACTTGTTGCCACCAACGTTCAACAATTTCTTTACTCCTGTGTGCAATGTTCATTCTCAAAATACGAGGCTTGCTTCTAAATTAACATATATACTACCAAAAGCAAGAACAAATTTCGGAATTTTCAATATCAAATATCAAGGCGCTAAAATTTGGAATTCTTTACATGAATCATATAAAGACTGCCGATTTCTCAAATTAAATATAAAATTAGAATCGATTTTCTTGGAAAGTATTGATTCAGTTTCCAACTCCAACTTTTTCTATACGTTATCGGGAGTCATGCAGGACTCCTTTCTCGATCTTTTAAATATATTTGATATAGAACTATATATTGTCAATTTTCATCATTTTTTCGTCCTTTATTTGGTTTCCTGATATTTATATAGCCCTGTGGTTATTTCAGGGAGCCAGCTCTCTTTCAAATCTTCTCAAAAATTACAAAACAATTAGTCACAGATCACAAATATATTTTACTAATAATAATAATGTTAACTATAATTTAAATAATTTCTTTGTGTATATAAATTGCAATTTGAAAGGAGCAAATAAATCTTGTCTTGTCTTGTCTTGTCTTGTCTTGTCTTGTCTCATACAAGTTTTGAGTAGCACTATAGCTACCAGTCAATGAATTCATAAAACATCTCAAACGACTTCAAATATTATAAGCGTTGGCACAGTTATGAGATGAGACATATGCATAGAAATGATGGTAATAACGTGGTAGCTATACTGGAATGCTCAGCCGAATACAATACATTTATAGCAATTTTTACTCGCCTTTGTCTTAGAGTACAAATGCTATTGTTATAATGAACACCTCTTTATTTATGCTGTACTTCCCAAATGCTGTTCTTTGTTTTTTTCAATTGACTAACCTTGACTATATTAATTGTGTGGGATGCTTTTGTGCTTCTTTGGGATTTATCAAAGATTTGTAAGAAATTACCTCACTTATTACTTGTTAGTGAATCATCTCGTCCGCATTTGGAAACCCATTCGCCATGTTTAGGTGGGAGGAGCTGTCAGTTTACGGAATGGCGCAACGAAAACTGAACTCGTTGATGGGGGGG